ATGAGGAATTTTATTCAAAATATATTTCAACACCAACAGACAGTTATTTACCTCTTTGGGCAGCATGCATGACAATACTATAATTTCTTCCACTAATTAAGTTACATCTACATCTGATATTTTTGTCTTTGACCTTATGCAGTCACTCTTCAACTTCTGCCTGTCTATATGTTTTGTTTGTGCTATATTTGTAGAAATACTTAGTGTTCATTTATGTATAACCACAGTTTTCCTATACTTTAGCCTTGTAGAAAAGACTTGTCCTCTTAATGCACAATTAACTTAAGAGTCCTTTATGAAGGATATCAAAATCTTTTTGAAAGTCCAAATATGCAGTGCCAACTGGATCACCTCCATCTGTACGTCTACCAGTAGTCCTCGCTTACCAACTGCCTCGTGCAGTGACTGTTCAAAGTTACAACACTGCTAAAAAAATAACTTTGTGACCAATCCTCACATTTATGACTGTTGCAGCATCCTGCAGTCATGTGATTGCCATTTGTGTGCTTTGCAACTGGCTTGTGACAAGCAGAGTTAATACAGCTAGCGGAAATAAAATTGTAAGTTGCAGTCACATGATTTTTTGCTTAGTGATCACTGTGCTTCGCTTAACAACCGAAGGGGAAGTAAGGTCGTAAGCCCATCGAGGTCACGTGGTTTTCCACTTAGCAACCATGGCATAGTAACCAAGTTGCTGGTCCCAACTGTGGTTGCTAAGCAAGGACTACCAGGTATTTACATTCTCTAACACTTTCTCTCCTTTCCCTCTTCAGATGTTGCAGGCAGCAAATGGGACAGGAGGAGGGGCCTGCCTGGTCTGCGATGGCATTTGCTGGGGGCCCAGGATGGCACAGCAGCATGTTCCCCACTTTCTTCTTGTACTTTTCAGTCATAACAGGCGGTAGAGAAAAGGTTGGTTTGAAGCAATGTATGGTGGTAGTAGAATGGCTGGCAGCAGTGGAATGGCTGGGTGACACTGGGTTGGCTGGTGGCAACTGCACAGCTCTGGGATGCAATGGGCCTTGAGAAGGAGGGTCAGCTCTGGTCACACAGTTTGTCAGGCAGGCAGGACAACATGCTTCCCCCAGGTTCCTTGGAAATGGTTTCCAGAGCAGAGTGCTTTTCTCTTGCTGCCCTATTCCTACAGTAGCAGCTGCCACCACAGCTTGCAGTGTCCTGCTTGCCTGGCCTTGTGCATTCAGGGAAGGAAGCAGGAATGTGCACGTTTGCCAGCTTATCCAGGAATGGCAAAGAAAGTGGGACCCAGAGATTGGCAGTGACAGCAGGCAGAGTACTATTATGGTCAGGAGAGTGCATGGAGGGAAAGACGTGGAGAGGGAGGAGAGTCCCTACTTAAGGCTCTCCATTTTTCTGGGGTTGATCAATGGACACTATGAGGATTACACATAAGAGGATTTATGCACCCAAGTTGCAGTCAGTGCATAACTGCCTCTGATGAGAAAGCTATCTGTGGAGATTGGTGTGCGAGCTATAAGCTCTCCTAAGAACACAATGTGAAGGGAGAAAATGAGGATCCAGGGCTTTTCTAGGAGTAGTAGCCACTGGGAATGGAATTGTCAGTAGCCAGACAAGCTATAGAAGTATAAGAGCTGAATTCTTTCTATTACACTTTCAATTACATGCATTAAGCCAGGCAGGGATTGCTCAATTTTAAGACTTCATGCTCTCTGGTTGACATCATCATCATCATCATCATCATCATCATCATCGTCGTCGTCATTGTTGTTGTTGTTATTAAAAGTGACTGTGGAAACTGGTTCCAGTCTCCCTTTCAGCCAAAGGAGAGGTAAGTGAAGAGGTGACAGACCAGACTGAAGGAAATTAGCAGAACCAACTGGAACCACATGATTGCAGGCACAAAGCATACCATTTCAGGCCTGACTGCTTCCCTGATACACATCCCTATATTGATAGCACACAGCGTTTAAGGGTGGGGTATTAGGGGAAATACCACTTCAGAGCATGGCACCTTAAGCTGTCTCAGATGTGGGATGACACTGAGATTCCAGTGGAGGCAGATGGACATGTGTCAGGAAATAGTCAATGGGTTGAGACTACTGTAATGGGACCTTCTTTTGCAGAAGAGTCTAACAGTTGTCAGCCTAAAACTGACTAGGGAGTGACCTATCCATTACATGGCTCCTCTGCATCACAGCTTCACCCAAGCAGAATATCAAACTCAGCATGGGCCCTGCCACGTAGGGTGGGGAGGGGGGCAGCAATTAATTAGGATAGGTCCATGGTCCTCACAGAGTACAAAAAGTCGTTAGCTCCTCCTGTCTGGACAAGCTCAGTACAGATGTTGAAATCCCCCAGACAAGGATCATCTGGTAATGCCCAAGCTCACTTTAGGCAGCTCAGGAACAGAGACCATTAGGCAGCAGAGCAGATAGCACCATAACAGCTCAGATTGCCTTGGCAACCCAAACATAGCTCTATGCACTCAAAATTGGCTGACTCTCAAATGGCACACCTCCCTCTTCTCCATGCCTAACCTGCTGAACCAGATAGAAACCCAAAGGACAGATCTGGGAAAAGCTGAATTCTCCTTCTTCTGTCAGCCATATATATATGATATACAGTACATCAGCACAAGTATCCAGGATTAAGTCCCAGATAACCAATGCTTTATGAATTACTTTCCCTTAAGTTGGAATTATTTTCTACTTTGCAGGGATTTTAAAGAGCAAAAGGAGTAGTAATTTCATCCTTTTCATTCTTCCCAGCCTGGAAAATATCTAATATTTCTGTCCAGTCTGATAATATGATAGCATTACCAGTCATATTCCCTGTGGTACCCAGGCAAGGAAGAAAGAGGAAGCATAGCCCCAAGCTGAAAAAATTGTCTGGATCTGATCTATGGCTTAGCATAGTATTTCAGTCCAGGCAATTGTATTTTATTGAAAACCCCATGGTAAATACAATCATTGCATGGTGTGTGAACTTGGGTTGTGCGCACTCTTCTGAAATCAGTGGGACTTATTTCTGGGTAAACTTTTCTAGAATGTTATTGTTTTATTTTAAATTAGTGGGTATATTTGTAATTATTAAGTGCATGATTATAGTTTTAAAGACATTTAAAATTATTAAATGCATGAATCCATACTCTGCTTTCAGGGAAAATTAAACTAATCATGGTTAATTAATTCATTAATTATTAATGTACCGAGTCAACATGTTTCCATAAAGAAACAAGGTGTTCACTATTTTATACAGTAATCACATGGAAAATTTAACACAATCCTGGGGGTCCTAACAGGAGGAAGATTGGATGTTAAAATTAAATGTAGGTTGGGTACACACATTGTACTAACCATCATATGATTTGTTTGGCGTTTGCGTTGTGTCTTGTGTGATCCTATAATTTAATGCAGAGTGTGAAACTTCCATTCCATACCAGCCATTTTGGGATCATCTGTCCGAAAGTTGGTGTGGCTACTACCCAAAAGAGGAAATGCCACTTTCAGTTTAATAGATTTACTTTATTTTGTTTCTATTTTATTGTTAATGTCACCCCTGTTAAGGGCCCCGTTTCCTGGTTATGTTAACACCTATGGATTATAATTTTTCTCAGCTGCAGTATATATTTTTTTTTATTTTTTGTAATTGGTTTTAATTGATTTTATGATTGTTTGCCACCCAGAGTCACTTGTTTGAGATGGCGGCCATATAAATTGAACAAACAAATAAGAAGACACAGTGAACAGGTGGTAGCAGCAGTGAACATGTAGAGAATATTAAGGGGATTGGGTAGTGTTGGGCTTCAGGGTTTAGTGACCGTGGTCTACAGAACAGATTTCCTGTTGCTGGCGAAACATCAGGAAATCTGTTCTCTAGACCACAGTCACTAAACCCTGAAGCCCAACACTGCCCAACAGAACCAGCAGTGAAAGCCTACATCAATATATTAAGGGGATTTGTGTGTATGGTCATGTGTGAGGGTGCCAATGAAGAAAGAACTGACATACTTGTGTCAGGTGTCAGTATGAAGTTATATTTTTGCAGCGTTCATGCATTTGCTCACCATCCTCGTGAGCATGGAGGGGCTGAGGCAGCTTTTATGCTATTCCAGACCATTGGCCTGAATGGGGCTCCAGGTTCTTTTTTTTTTTTTTTTTTGCATTCCTAGTTTGAGGTTCCGTGTGAACTCAGCCAACTGGAGGTTATTCAACAAACCATAATGAGGCAAAGCATGGCCTCATTGATCTCATTTCCACATTGCGCTTAGTCATGGTTTATTTTAACATGAAGAAGCTCCAACTGGCCAGGTCCGCACAACTCCCATAACGGTTTAAGGCTGTGTGTATTCACACAGCAATAAAAAAGGAGCCACGTTCCATATAAATCCCGAAGAATTCTGCTGTGGCTTGAGAAAGTTGATACGAGTAGAGAGTTCACTTTAGGCTGAAGGAAGGAAGCACTGACGACCAAAAAAGACGGAAACGATCAATCCAGGAAGGCGCCGAGAAGCGCCTGCACCGCAAGGATTCGGGTCTCCCTCCCCCCAGCAAGGGGAGGAGCGACAGGAGGTTTCAACCCGCCCTTCCCTCTGCCTCCATGGTAACCAATCACCGCCGCTACCGCACGCGCGCCAACGGGCTGACGGACCCAGAAGGCGGCGCCCCCTCCTCTCTCGCGCGCCCTGCGCGCAGGAGCACGCGAAGGCGGTGGCCCCTCCCTGATGTAGGCCCGGCA